TAAAATCCGAGTGAAACCACGATTCCGTTGTTTCACTTTGAGAGCGAGGTCACTAGAGCCCCTTACCTTCCTCTTCAATTCCCAATTCCATAACTTCCAAAGGCTACGAAACGCTGCATAAGGCTCCAAAGGAACCACCGACTGCCTTCCATACGGTGGACCTTCAGCTGGTTTGCTGCTATAAAATAAAAGGTATGGTTCTACCACAAACCAAAAGGATTTAAAACAATCAACTTCATTTTTCAACAACAGATCTATTGGACATCAAAATTAAGTTCAATTTAGAAAGAAGTCTCGTATCCTATGTCACGTAGGAGTGAAACACATGGCTATTCTACTTATTCTTCACTCGATAGTGTAAGGTAACATATAATTTTCGCATCCCTACAGAAATACTCTACTGCCTAATTACTGCAATTTGAAGGGCGAACTAAAAATAAACTAAGCTAAAAATAAACTACAAAGAAAAAAGTCATTAAGGTTATCGGAGCGGGTCAATACGCAGTCAGTATTCAATCGGAGGCCCAAAATTTCAAAATTGATGATATAATCAAAACCTGTATGAGTATTCTATTAGAGTTCCATTTCTGATCTAGAACACGAAATTTTTATTACATAGGTAATAAGTATATTTTCAGACTACTACGCGACGTACTTAATATTCTTATGGAGTACTTGCAAGAGTAAACAAGTTGGAATTTTATTGTGTCTGTCGTGGTATCCCGGAGATTAAGGTGTCCGCTTCTCATGTATGTACATATTAGGGTGCGGGTTCAAACTCCGTCAAGTACCAACGTGAATTTTTCTTACTTTCTATGATTATTTAGAAATCACGGACAAAACATCGTGAGAAAAGCTGGACCAAATAAAAACGTCTCAAGCAAGCGTGGTGATTAATACACGAATCTTCTCTGCATGAGTAGAGGCCTTTGCTAAGCAGTGGACACTTCTAGGCTGATGATGTACTTGCAAGATGCTACAAATAATAAAAATAATGTAGATTAAGATCCATTATTTAATAAATTTGTTAATATGCTTGAATTTGACTTCAACACGTTGCGTATTTCCCAAGACATAGTATCAAGACTACTTAGCAAAAGTAATTACGGAACTCATTTTTTAATGAAAGTTATTTCTAGCAAAGCAAAATTATAAAGAGATTTAAGAGGGAACATTCTAAAAATATGCACAGCTTAATACGGTCGAGTGTTGGGTTTTGCGTAGGTGTTGTTTAATACTTTATAGTTCATTCCGACCGCAGCTTTACCCGCTTGGTATGTTGATAAAAAGCAGCCTGTGTGTTAATCCAGGGTATAACTTATCTACATACTAATTCAGAACCAGGCTGCGTGACGTCGCCGCGTCCGCGCACGCTGCTCATGAGGAAGAACCCCTCTGTGGTTCGAAACTAGTAGAGCTTTTCTCAATATATACACGTGAGTAACCCGCGATTTTTAGTTAATTCAGAACCAAATCGGTCAATAAAAAAAAAACAAGTCTTTGTCGCAAAAACGGAAACGGCAAAAAAGCAAACATAAATCACATCGTAATATTAGTAGGATTAGAAATTAACATTTAAAAGATTTGCTTCTTGCACCTACTGTTAGCTGTACATTACCCAAAGGTTCGACTGGCAGAGAATGCCCATGTCATTAATACACAGATGTTTTTGCAAAAGTTGAAACAAATGAAAAACACGTTTCGAACTATTCTTGTAAAATGATGCATGTATTGTGATTGGTTAGATTTTATTCTCGTATTTGTTTTATTTACTCAACTTTTTACAAACCATCGCGAGAAGCTGCAAAGCTGTTCGAAGATATTGAGTTAACCGATACGTGAGCGACATCAATACGAAGTGACAACAATCTATTAAAGTCTGGAACGTTCTATCGATACACATTTTTATTTTCTAAAGTGTTGTCACATTAATATTGACTGTGAAGCAATGTACGAAGTGATAGATGACTCTGCAACGAGTACTTTTAGGACAAAAACCTAAATCATAACTATGCTTATTGGTTAACTGATCAACAGCAAGTATGTAAATCGTATTATGATGGGAATGGGCTAGTTCGATAGGAGAAGATACCTTATGATAAACGACGCGAAACAAAAATGTCATTGAGTGAGATTACTTATGTGCCTATATTATTGGATATACCTATATTACAATTGTTGGTATTATACCATACTATTCAAATAAATAAGTAAATAATTGAAGTCGATTACAGATTGTTATATTTCTTATAGGCACGAAATTATGGTCAAGCCAAGTCTCAAAAATATTAAAGAATAAAACTGTCTTTCAAATGGTATAAGACAGATAATATTGCTTTAATTCCACTATCGTATCTGGGTCATGTGTGTTGTCCCTCAGCATCTGTGAGCATCAAATTTTTTCCCATCTAAGGTTACGACATGACCTAGCTCCATATACCGGCCACGTCATCTATCACTTTCTTTATGTACTTCTGTTAATGTTTACGGGCCGCGTTGATACCACTTTCATAGCAGTAAAAGATTACGGAGATCACTGAGTTACCTTCGTCTCTAAGGACGCGTGGACTTAGCATTAAAACGTTATGGAGGTTGTCTTTGATGTTTACGTTTACTTTTATGATTTGTTGTGTTAGCGATGCATATAAAAGATTTAAAATCAAAAGCGCTTTTGTCTTCAATCGTTTCTGACGTCCAATTTTATTGTTGCGGGTTATGTGGAGGTCAATATCAAGACACCCTATTTAATTGTTGCCTTTTAGCAATTATAAGACACTAACCTTCAAAGGAATCAATTTAGAGTAACTTCTTTGACTTAGCTATTATGAAAATTTACTTTAATTGTTATAAGAAAGCCAAAATGACCGTTAGAACAATAGACACAAAAGCTGTAATAGGTTAAACACAGGTGAGTGACATTACACCGTTATTTCACATAATGTGTGAAAGCGTAACAATTGGAATGTTATAATTGTGAAGTTCATTGTTACACTATTGCTATTATTGTTATTTTGTCATCGGCATAAAGCACCGGGGTCCATGAACACTCGATAATGTCATTCACGTCCGACCTTTATTGTGTTTCTAAATAGATATATAGAAAATTTCAATTAGCACAATGTGTAAATGGTCAAAGCAATAAGAATTCAAAGGAATCAGTTGGGTTTAAATTAAATACGTACTTTATATTATTGTGGTTCATTGTGTTATGTGTCAGTTCAAAGGCAAGTTCAAGGGTCACTGTCAGATGGTGACTTTATGGAGATTGTACCCCATCATTGTATGTGATAGGCCAATGATTGTCGCCCGTTAAATATTGGGGATTGCCCTTAAACTAATTTAAGATAGGTCAATCACTGTATCTTAATACCGCTATCTATATTTCCCCTTCAACAAAGTTTGACGCCTTGGATTCGTCTTAACAGGCTCTGCTTAATATTGCCTGCAGTTTTGAGGTCGAATTCGTGGCCGTGAAAAGTTTTGTGATTATTTAGGTCGTCTTGCAGTATTGGCATTCATTGCCTCAGTTGCATCTACTACCCATTTAGTTAATAAACATACGTCGGAGACGTTTAATATTAATATTTTACGAGTATAACAACCAATATTAGATATTCCTTAAAATTAAAAACTTGTGTTTGGCTTTCTTTTTCTGTATAAGTAGTATATACTACCGCCCCGATTTCGGACGGGTGTCAGGCTGATACTAAATTTGTCCACTATTAACATCTCAAACGTGGTAATTCGAGACGCAAAAAAAATAGGAGTGCGCGCCCGCGTTCGCTTGCTGCTTGATGAATTTGTTAATATACAAATTAATCTTTCTTTTCAATTACCTTATCTATTAAAAATGCGCATAAATAATTCCGTTGCGGAGTTTTAAAGATAAGTAATAGATTAAGCATACATAGGGATATAGGGACTGAGAAAGAGACTTTTTTTTACTATGTAGTGTTAAAGAACCGGAATTTCGATAGATTTACACGATAGTCTTGATGGTGATTACATTATTGTGAATAATATAATATAAATAAAAGTTTTTAAAACAGACATGATTGAAGTACTTACTTAAAAACGTTAACACACTTTTAAGGTTTAGTTTTTCCTCTAAAGTCCCTGCGTTATATCTAAGCATAGCTAGTGTTGCAAGGGTTGGAGTTACTAGAGTATCAGAGGAACATGGTGTAACACTGGTTGGCGGTCACGTTTGCAGGCACGCCGGCCGCCCGCCGACTTGCTCCCTTCACCGACAAATAAAAATAACTCCACCATTTGTTCGGCTAGTTGCGGCTGGCAGATTGTGAAATACTGTCATTCATGTTTTAAATGTTCTTTCATAAACAATTTTAGTTTTATATTTTATTGTTGCTTGCTGTTTATTTTTTCATGTGGATTTGTAACTGAGGAACAATAGGATCAAGTCTAACTAGATGATCAAAAAGTATCTTGTGTCCTATAATGAAATATTGTACAGATATTTTATATATATTGACCAAACCAACATGAGGAATTCACAGTTATTTCTTTTATATTATTTATCATTATCGGTTAGTCGTGGTTTTCTGTCTTAATAATTGAATAACATTTCGACAGTATTCTCTGCCGTTAGATCTCTAAATAGATAAAGGAGGTTCACTAAACACTTCAAGTTCACTTGTGTAAGTGTACTAGAGGAATCCAAGTAGTACGAAAAATATTACTTCTTATTTTATATCTCAATTTATATTGTGATTGGAATGATACGTGTCACACATTCCACATATACATGTATTTTAGTATTAAATTATTAATCAATTTTATTTTAAGTAAAACGCATTCTAAGGCGGTTTCCACGTTACATTATAAAGGTGGATATTGATAGGAACTTTGTGAACATTTCCTTAAGACGTTATGAAAGTCTCACCTTTGCAAAGGTCGCTGAAAGTGTTGTGTAAAATTTTCCACACTGTCAAGGATTGGTCTGACGCTCGATTCGGTCACGTTTGAGGACACAAGTCGGATTAGTCTTGATTTCTATGTGCCTCAAAGATCAAGTCCTGAAAATAAATAAAAAACGTTACAATTACAATTAATTTAGTGAGAAAAACATTACACACTTTTATAATTATTTAATTTAGATATTATTATAAAGTAACACACCGCTTGTGGGTAAAAATGCTTCGGGTCGTCCAGAATGATACCACGCCTTCAAAAATACCCTGAAGCGTACTGGCATGAAACAACCACACAAATTTTGATTACCGGCGGTCCTCCTCACCCGCATTCTCAATTTTAAACCCTATTCCCATTACCGCTAGCCTTAAATCCCTAACAAATCATAAAATGTCGACAATGCTCATGTAACTCCTTTGGTGTACGCAGTTTTTTGATAATCAATGAATACAAATTTCAACGATTTTTTCTATAAATATATTTTTACTCTATAAATTCTTATTTTTCTTATAATTTATTCAAAAAGTATGCTATGATGAAACTAATAACATGTACATACATATAACTGACAGTTTTCCGTGGGTACACCGTGGGTAACTCTGACTTCTTTGGGGAATAGTAGGCGTAGTTATGTTTTGAAGAACTTTTATTTCAGTAATAGTATCCACGTATGACGTCATATGATGACGACAGAAGTAAAGTCCATTAATTTCAGTTTTTTTTTTGGGTGTCGGATACAAATATCGTCATATTTTTTAAGCCAAACTAATTTAATACGTTCCATATTTCGTACGAATAATTTATAACAAAATATTAAATTGATATACTGCGATTTATGTATAATCTTGTAAGCATAGTGAAACAGTTGACGAAAAAATTCGACAGGTATGAATGATTTATAATCGCAAGGACAATCGACATACATATAAAATAAAACAGATGGAGGCTTAGAAACTACACAGTTGCTAGTTACTTATACACACGTATCATAACAGCTTTTCTAACGTTTATTGAAAAGAAAAAAACGATAGGAAAAATGTGATAGTACACGTGAGCGCCGCCTAGGTATTCTTTTCTACAAAACGTGGAGACATGCAATGATACTCAAACTTTTTTATATAGAAATGCTTCATTTTTTATTCTAAAATCCGATGAAATTTGTACATAATTAAATGTTTTCTCTCTATTCAAAATAAGAATATGACAACAAAAATCATTGTTCCTGAGAAAAATGGTATTTATAAATAAAAAAACTTTGTTAAAATTTGTAACAAACATAAATCAATATTATTGTAGATTCTACGTTTTTTTTTCATTTCCTTTTATATTCTGTAAAAGTTTTTTTTTTCATTCTGTATTTGAAATTGACGACACACACAGTCTAAGTTTGAGTAACATTGGTAGTCACGGGTTGAACCCTTGCGGCCGGCTGTCCGCGTGCATAAGAACGAGGAACTATAAGAATTTCTGCTCGGACATGGAAGAAACCACCAGTCGAGGGGGTTTTATGTAATTCCGGGCTTAGAATAAAACTGTCGTGGGCGTAACAGGTTAATGCGTAGGAATAGAACTGATACTGGTGAACGTGTACAAAACATATTTTTGTACAACTGACTAAAATGACTTTGGACTTTGGTCCGTCGACATATAGTTTGGTATTAATACAAAAGTGATATCAATGTGACGAATCAAGTAATGGATGAAAATGTAAGCCAAAAAATAATAAATCATATTTTTTCGTTTCATTTTTAATCAAAATATTTTACACATAAGATGTATGTAAGTAAGTAAGTAAGTACATATACGTCATCACTAGAATTAAAGAAACCATTCTCGTAATCTAGAAATCAAATTAAAATAAAATCGCAGTTTTAACAAGTTAGAAGCTGGCAAACTTTGCAGCAATAGTAATTTTATGCACATCTATAGTATTCATAATATCAAAGCTCGTCTGTCTATGAAAGACACCTCATAGAATTTTGTTCTGGAAAAAAATACCGCCGATGTGGGAGTAGAAGCCGTGGAAAACGCGTAATTGACAGAAAACTAAATCTTCATCGGTACAACGGTGGGTGTCTGCCACAAACAAATCGAGCATTCGAGACTATCCTTCGAGTATACAATCAAGTAATAATTCCCTCTATTATTGATAAGAGAAATTAATGCGTAATTATTATGGTTGTGTACACAATACGCTTACAGTAATCTTCACAATACTAATTGTTTGTCCGACAGCTGTTTACAAGAACTTAGTTCTAGATTAGTGATATCATTTCCATTTAAATCTTGCGCTGAATACATGCATTATGTGAGTGACAGTCATTTATTTTGTTTAGTATTATCCTGTCGCTGTCGGGCGCTTTGGGAGTATCTCCCATATAGACAGTTTGTATGTGTATTTAATATAATCTGATTAGTCTATTGTGTGTTTCAACGTAACTCCGCTTGCTTCTGAAGGATTAGAATGTTCAATATAAGTTATATAAACGGAGATGAAGCTGTGTTTGCAGTATATTTCACAACGATTTTTATGATAAGCATTTTATAAAGCTGATACGCTTTTTAACCAGACCCAAGCATGCAACGCGTACGCGCGCACCTCAAAATTGCGAATACAGATAGGGCCCACCAGGGCCGATATTAAGCCGGAGTTGCTAGTCAAGCACAATAAGGTACCACGGCCTCGGTGGCGTTAGTCAGTAAGAGTCTGAAATTCCCTCTTGCCTTACCCTAGGTGAGAGGAGTTATTTGACGACTTTCCCTTCACAAAAAGTCAAATTCTTGATCTCTGAGATCTCTTGTTTGATACAGACATATTGACTTATACGTCATCCGATAATTACAGTAACTTATTTACAAAAAATTTCGAAATGTAAAGTCCTGATATTTACTACTTCTACTAAGGTAAGGATCATACTAGGAAAAACAATAGGCAGAAGTCAGACCTGTTTAGGCTGCTGGCCATTATAGCACCATGAATGACTCCGAACTGACGCAAACCTTTGCCCTCGCATTTACAGTACTTACTTAATTGCATACCGAATCAAAATGATACGCTTTTAAGATAATAAATTCATTGTTACACTATACCAAAACAACAGCGCAGTTAAAGGAAAATTACAAATTTATTACCTTCCAAATTTCTATAGTTATTATTTATACAAAAGAATCTATTAGGAGGGTTAATTAAGAGCTTTGTGTATTTAAACTCAATGTTCGATGTGACGTCATTGGGTTTAAAGAGGGATGATTATATTATGATGCTGCGCCCACTTATGTTATCTCCGTTGTTTGGCCCACTTTACAAGGAGTTGTGAAAAGGGACCCAACAGCTGCTTTGAAGATTAATAAGACCAAAGAAAAGTACAAGAGGTCACACCCCCGCTCTAAGCTTTAAGGTTATTGTGTTACAGTGTATAGAGATTAAAAATCTATGCACTGACACGGCTTATAAGAACGAAAATAAAATTTTAAAAGTTTTAAAAATTTCTCAAAAAATGACCTACAATATGTATATCATATACGATTTTTTAATAATATTTAATTGATCGTTATTTCTAACAGTTTCTTTTACAAGTACAAATATTATATGATACAATACATAGACTGTAATTTTCCTAAAGAACCCACAAATGCAAAAGCTATTTTATGAAATGATCTTCATATTTTCATACAATATCATGTTCAAATAATCAGATTCCCAGTATTCATTATCGTGTGTATTATATTTACTTAAGTTAATTATTTTAACGGTAAGAGAAAATGTGAAGGTATTAAATTCTACGCAGCAATACTCAAACATGTAATTATAAGAAGACTCCATTCTTGTTTCCATTCATATCAAAACAGAGAGTAACACGTCATTATCTTTGTAACAAGCGCGTGTTGTTTTCGTAGCTCGTAGCACGCCGACGCTTACTACGCCGTAGCAGCTACGAATAGCCGTGAACATTGATGTTTGTTCGATATTCATGATGGATGTCTTCTGAGTAATAAATAAAGTGTTTTGTCTTTGTTTTCGTATAACTTATATTAATTATGTTCGTCCAGCTCATGGTCACCAAATGTATTAGTTTTATTTATCACGCAGTTCCGAATTAACTCAACCTACTTTTCCTACGACGTTCGTAACTGCGTAGAGAGGGTTGTGTGGAACTGAATAAAAACAACACGTTGTTTGTTTGTACAACAAGATTTATACTACACCAAGTTTATGTGAGAAAATTGTTTAAAAACAGAACACAGGTCAATACAATAAATTTATCAAAATATTTTTTTTTAAAGCAAATAAACACGAATGTTAAGTAAACCTGAAAACATGGAAGTTACAAAATACAAGTATTAAAATTACATTTTGAATGGAAATTATTCGTATTTTCTTCCAATGAATATAAATATGTATACCTATCGATCACTGTCTCTATCTGACTACATATTTTGTAAAAGGAATATGACATTTATTTGTACTCACGATTTGTACCAACCGATTTGACGTTGTCTAGGTCACGAACACAGCAAGGAGTCCAATCATCCACTCATTACCGTAGACTGGAAGAAAATTATGTTCATTAGTGTTGCTTCTTTAAAACTATTTACAAATACAAAAGCTTTTTCGTCAATAGGTACTGACGTATATTCATGGTGATTTCGATTGAGAAAAAATAAAATAAATAAAAAGTAATAAATATCGTTAAAGTTTAGGCAATTGACACTATCTTTGGAAATTGTATAGGAAATTAATAATACTAATAATTTGGTCCAGATGCTAAACATGAGACAAAAAAAAATATTTGTAAGCCAATGAAGTTTCTTTTTTTACCAAAAGTACTTACTAGCTTCGATGGGACAAAATTTAACCTTAGAGCATGAGCAACTACAAACGCATTCAACAGGTATATTCTATTTTATTAATTAACTTTCTGCCGCGCACAGCAAAACTTTGGAATGATCTTCCCGAACCGATACGACCTTCAAACCTTCAAGAAACGAGCGTACTTCTCCTTGAAAGGCCCAAAACGCACCTGTGACTCCTCTGGTGTTGCAGGTGTCCATAGGGTGCGCTGGTCGCTTACCATCAGGTGATCCGTCTGCTTGTTTGCCTCCTATTCCATAAAAAATGTTCTATTATATTTTTTCTGAAAAATACAAAGTATTTTTAATTTGATTTTTCTCATTTCAAATTCCAAACACAAACTTAGACACACACTCTTACCCGGAACGATATTTATTCCATATGGCAAACAGTTACTAGGAGTTGAAAGCGAAAAAAATATATCAGACAGATTTTTTCATCGTAATAAACAGAAAACTTGCTGGTTATAGCAAGTTTTGAAGCACGCTTTAAATATGGTACGGCCAGTGTTTCAATCAGAAGCAATATCGTGCGGGAATGACGAAGTTTTTCAATTACATGGTACCAGTTCTGGACTATTTTTTAATGCGATGGGTTGGCAAATAAGCCGGTTGAGTCACCTGATAATAAGCCTTAAACACATGTAATGTTGACGTTACCTAGGTTTTTGAGAAATGTATTTGAAGATTAGGTAGAGGGAAGGGTTAGGCCTCCGGTAACCTCATTTACACAGTGAAACAGAACGCAAGCGTTGTTATACGCCGATTTTCTGCGAAGCAGTTGTATCCCTTCACTCGAGCCTACCCCATCGTGTGTGATGTGCACGACTCTTCAACACTTAACATGTTTTTTAATATCAAATACTTCAAGGAAACTCGACAACGTGACATTTGTTTTAATGCCAGACTCGAGTGCTGTTTAGCAATTCGCGTCGTTATTACTTTAGCAGCATTTTTCAAGTTGCAATCTTATTCAAGTGGCCACCTTATGAATATATTTAAAAACAAGCTATTCTCGCGCGGTTTCACCCGTTGCTCGGCTCCATTTGATCGTAGCGTGATGTTTTATTGCCTATGGCACTCAGGAACATTGTAGCTGTCTATCAGTGAAAGAATTTTGGCAATCCGACCAGCAGTTCCAAAGATTACCCCTACATACAAACTTATAAATTTTACGTCTCTTGTTTTTACACATTACATTAACCATGCGATATTTTATTGTTAAATTTATAATATATCTAGAAAAAAAAATATTTTATTTAGATTATTTTACTTGATTAATGGTCTGATAAATGGTTCCCTTTAAATTTCAGGTTTTGTTGTTAAGTAACTCTTGGTTCGTCACCATGAGTTACTTTTGACCGGTTTTCCGTACATAGTAGATTGACTACAACGGTACGTCTGATTCGTTATCGCCAATTTATTTCAGGTTTATTTGTATAGGCTCGGAGCTTCCAAGATAAGTTTCGAAAGTAAATGTGATTTGGCCAGAGTCACATTGGCACGTGTCACTATTGGGTGCCAATGTCCTCGGCTCTCAAAGATGCAAGGGAACAGGAAAAAATATTCGGTTCGATGATTACCTTATTTCCTACACTATAGTTTGGCTATAGGTATAGCCCGACTGTCTTTTAACAATACAACAGTTTTATACGAGATATGTTTCTAAAAATTACTCGTTATCCAACTAAGGAGTACGTAGAGAATTGCGCCACAAAAAACATTTTTTTTTTTTCGTAATATCTTTCGAAACATTTACACAACGAATCTAGCCGTTTTAAGCAGCTATTTTCGTAATTAACTTACTTCCGTAACATTCGAAAAGAGGTTTTCCCTAAGTTTTTAAATGCCACCTCGAAAATAAAGTGGTTACGTTGCTTTCGTGCGTCACAGTGAAGCCCGTTCCTTCCGACTTTGCCTTTTGTGCAATCTCGGCGCTGCGTGACCCGGCGATCACGAGCCGCGACTCGCGTGTTCCACCACACTGGTTGCCCTGTAATTAATATTCCAGTGTTACCCGGTGTTATTTCATCATCTCTAAAAAGGCACTCGTTATGAGGTTACAGTCACATAACATAGCATTGTGTAACCCTAAAAAGGTAATTAATATAGTATTTTAAATAGATACGAGTTTCTAGTTAAGCATTAGGCATTCGGAACTTCCTAATACAAAAATGCTTCCTTTAGGCCGAAAAATAAATCTAGAACCTAAGTAAATATTAAATGAAAGTTAGTGGTCACATATTTGGACCATACCAAAAATACTAGAGATAATTTTCGCAGTTATTATCACACTAGACTACAATTAGACCCACACGTTGTCCCACATTAAAAGGCCCATATAGAAATGTCACTGTTGAGCTCTGGATTTGCAGTTGTGTGTAGGTTTAAAGGGCTAATAAAAAGTAGATAAGGTTCACTCGATTATGCTTAATATGCGCTAAGAACGGAGTCACTCTCTGTTTGTTCTACAAATCCGACCCTCCATTAAGGAGGTTTGTATCAGAGATTATAAAACTCGTATTATGTTCGAATTAACGAAAATAGAACGCTTGTTTCCGAAAATGTCGTGTGATGTGCTCGACATTCACACATTAAAATATCAAAGGGGAGTGATACAATTGGCATCACAAGTCACTTGCGATGTTTCGTATATTTTAATGCGTATAAGTATATAAAGTTTATTAATTTGTTTTAAAGGTTTCTCATTGACGTCGACACTTTCGTACGATTAAGTGGTAATTACCTTTACTAATTGTTAGGTGTACGCATGCGTGATTTACATAAAAATAACATCACGTTTTGTATTTCCAGTAGGAAGAGTCTAGTTATGTTATTTATCTTTTTGTAATTAATAATGTTTGACAATACGGTCGACAATCCGGCGTTATCTATATCCAAAATTATCTGTTCTATGATAACTGTCAATATTTTTGATTTTGTTGAACCCTATGTCATTATTTTTACTTTTTTATAGAACCCAAGACCTGAAACTTATCAGTCACGCTTGTAACCTGGCTTTTGAGTGCTTGACAAAAGAAATAAAAAACATACTTCGTCTATTCCAAGTAATTGACAAGCATGTTGTTGTTATACATTCATTCTAAGATTCATAAAGAGAATGTCATTCATTTAAATGTGAGTAATATAATAATACAAAGTAGTGGGAACCCTGGTAGAGGCTGGATAAGAAGGACGTTAGAAGCCTTGAATAACGCGAGAGAAACCAGGTCATGGCAGGCGCTGAGATTTGCGCATTTTACTGACGCAATCCACGATTCAATGGCCTATACTTACCGAACAAGCCGAAGATGTATATTAGTGGTACATTAAAGTATAGAGTTATCGTTTTTTTTTCAAACGAGTACATACCTAGTTTTGAGTTTAACATGACGTTATTTCACACGTTTGAATCAACGACGGAGTAGTCGAAATGAATGTATACAAAACAATCATATAAGTATTACATTTTGCACCAGTTAAGTCCAATAGAAATCATACAATACATTGTAACTAAAAAAAATAATAGAAAAGTACCTTCCTTATTCCTTGCATTCCACCAGACGCACTTGGGACCCCTCTATTTATCACTTGGTGGCAACGGTCATTATTTATTTGTATTTAGAATTTATATAATTGCGAATACTATTGGTAAACATGTGCACTACCTCATATTATTGAGTTATTTAGGATTAAAAAATATTTTCTTTCTGTTGTTGTTTTTTTATGGTATAGGTCGGCAAACAAGCAGACGGACTACCTGATGATAAACAATCAGCGTCCCCCATGGACACCCGTAACACAAGAGGAGTTACGAGTGCGTTGCCGGCCTTGAATCATTAGGGTTTTGGAGATTTAGGGATGGGAAGGGACTTAAAAGATATTAATTTTATGAGAATTGTATTCACTACGTACAGTTCTTTACCTGAACTTATCATAATCATCATCATCATCATCAGCCTATAAGTGCCCACAGCTGAGCAAAGACCTCTCCTCACACGGAGAAGCATTAATCACCACGCTTGCTGAAGGCGGGTTGGCGATTTGAAACTTAAATAAATTCAGGTCCAGGTTTCCTCACGATGTTTTTCTTCACCATATGTCAGTGGTGTCCGTTTACCGTATGTGTAAATAATCATAGAAAATACATATGACTCGGAAAGAGTCACGTTGTTACATGCCAGGTTTCGAACCCTTATGCATGAGAAGCGGGGCGCCTTCACCTCCGGGCCACCACGACGTTTACCTGAACTGTTTTGCGTCAATCTTAATTAACCGACCATCATTAGTTGATTAACAAACGTTGGATAAAATGACCTCAGGCTTAACAGGCTCGTTTACGACCGCAACACTAATGGAGTGATAAGTATATCAATTAAGCCGTTGTTAATTAAATATAGGTAGCACTGTCGTTCGTTATTTTTTATACAGGAATAAATAAAGCTAGTAAATCATCAGAGTGGAAACAAAATTAGATATTTCCAGAAATTGAGTTCATGTTTATCAGATTTTGTATTTTTTTTTCGAAATTTGGCCATTTTATTTCCTTAACTAGTTCATAGGCGCTGCTCTGAAAGGAGTTCAACACCAAGAAGTGCCAGGGTTCTCCAAATTTAATAAAGGCTAAATAACAAAATTAGGCTCCGACAATGTGGTGCATATTTCGCATCTGCATATTTGGTTGAAATGCGGTGTGACCTAGTTAGCGTTACTTAGCACCAATCGACCTATTCATTCATCATTCACGCGGGGCGGCTCGGGAGGGGTCCAAGGCTCGCACGATGACGTCACAATGTTGGGTTTAAAAATTATACCCCCCTCTTCACACAGCTGCAGTCCTTTCTCGTGACCTACTGACCCAAAATTCAGGGATCCAAGTGACGTAGGCAGTACAACCCTGGCATCGAGTTCTGCGGTTGATACCCAAGAGGTGTATCGAATGGATAGCAAAACTTTTTCGAAGGTGTACCTGCTGCGTTTTCAATGGAAGTTTCTACGTTGCCTGTATACTAGTGCTGCAATAAATGTGTGTGCGTAAAAGTAGGGTTGATGTGTGAGTGTAGCGCCCGTGGGTACGACCTCCCTTCCTGGTAGCCTCGGCAGGCTTCATATACAGATGTGGCGCGACTACCTCTTTGAAGGCTATTTACAGCTAAAATTAGACGTGTCAGAATGTCAAGCACTCATGTGTTCCACGCTTGTTCGTCAAGCATAATTAATCGAGGCCAACCTGAAAGTAATCAAAGCAGAACTTCAAATTGTTTGAAGGACTTCTTTTTATCCGTTTTTAGATTTTTGCAGGCCTAATTCAATCATATTTTAGTTTGTAATTTGTTGTTTTAATCTCTTAGAGTTTGTTTTTTAGACTTATCTGTTGTTTTACAAGTGAATGAACTCGATACTAAGATTTTGTTCTTAAAATCTTAAGATTATCTTAGTGTTTGGGGTACACAAGTTAATGATTAATGTTTAAACTATTAAAACCAGTAAAACTATCCAGAATTTTGATAACAAGCGGATAACAATGATTCATTGCTCTCGATACCTTTTGTTTCTATAACATATCAATGTTTATTTTAGACTTCCTTAAAGACTATTTTCGTATACCTTAGTGGCGAACGAATGAAGACTAATCGTTTTAATCTAAGTTGGATTCTACGGATTCAAGCCGATATCTTCCGTTTGTACCGAAATAGACCGCAAGGATAAACAAACATCCGGTCAGTAGAGGCTTTCACGTTTTATAGTTTTATTATAAAGCTAGCAAGTGTTTGGATGATAGCCAAGAAAATGCTTCAGTAAACATTGTATTATTTTCAATTAGGTATGTACCTATAGGTATAATTTTCTATTTTCTATCAACGTTGGGGGTTTGCCAAAAGTAGTGTGATTATTTGTTTCTTATTGTTTTATTATTATTTTTTGTTTTATATCGTGGTTGGTGTAAATTTATTGAAAATGTGAGTTTTTTGCTTAATAAAAATGGAAAGTGGTGAAGGTGTTTTTTTAGTTTCACAACTTCTTTGTAGTTGTGTGAAATCTGTAGGAATTGGTTAAGAGTACAATAATCAGATCATTTCATTCTAAATAAAGCTCTATTATTTATCATTCAGAGATAATAATAGATAGGCTAGTATATTAGTAACAATTCCTACAATTGGGTAGTTTCCTAGGTCAAAAATAAATTATTTCGACGTTTCAATACAATGAAATATTGAAAAATAACTATACTTTTATTCATCGATCGAACGATACACCAAGTTTTAGATTTTTTTTAGCTAATTATTGTGAAATAAGTAGGCTATTTGGCGCAATAATGTTATGACGTCATAGCTCAGTTTTTCATACAAATTTCATAGGAAAGTATCGTTTTTGACGTTTGAATAAAAGTATTGAATTTGACTAGTTGGAAACTACCGTATTATGACTATTTATTTACAGATATTTCCAGATATAATAAAATATTTTAAAACTAATTAAGTAGTACAAACCATATGTTTACCTTTTATGGCCATTTATGGGGCACTATGATATAATTATTATGCTTATTATAATCAGTGTGTTCCATCAATAGTTATTTGGTACCATACCACAGGAGATAGGTTGTGAGAGATTTAAAGTAATTTTAAGAAACATGTAATTCACAATTGATTGTAAAACCTATTAATTATAATTTTCTTATAATTTGACACATAAATCAGAAGCATATGTATGTGTATTATAATAATGTCACCGATGTGCCTGTTTATAGGAGCGACGTGGCAGGCTGACATGCATACATTATGATAATTTATCACTCCACCGTCAGCGCTGAGTTCCGCGTGCTCCGATCAGAATAGCCGAGGAGGGTGCTGCTCTGTGGCACGTTTCCATTGTAATATAGCTTTTGGACTTTATAACATACGTTCCAATTTAAACGAATATTTATAGGACATCCACCGGAGCCTTTTTCACTACTCTAAATCAGATAATTGTTGGTTCAAACTGTTTGTTGGACTCAAAATAAGTATAGATGTATAAAAAATGTGTAATGTACGCAGTCTCGAAAAAAAGGCCCGTGTCAGGAAGGTAGCTATAAGTTGAGTATTGTATCATGTATAATTAAATTAAAATTTTATTTGATTACAGAGGTTAACGCTCAAAACGATACCTTAGGTTAGACCATTTAGAATCTAATCTGACAAATTCATGTTAAATTTTAACCTTCATAATACAAAACCCGGGATAATCCAAATGCTCTTTGGTTTCACCAAGACTATGATGGGTTTGCCGTCTTTCAACTTCCTTTTACAATAAACTACTCATATTTTATTCTCCAAGTAAAATTTCACGTTAAAATTTAAATGTCGTGAAACAATGTACGCGTACACCACGAGCCTTGATCGGCCGATGAACTTATCCAATAATCTCCTTATTTCCACATAAAGTAATTTACAGAGATGTCGATGTTAAGTACGCACGATATGATAACCCTTATGTAAAACAAATCGCGTGCCGATATTGCTGTGAGGTCATATATTCCAATATATTGGGAGCAATCCCCTTTAAATCTTTTATTAAGCGTAACTTTAGGCGTTATGTGGGGATATGTTTAATAATTTTCAAGTTGTATTATCTGATAAATGTCGTTGACCTGTCTTTGTTTTGTTCGGTTCTTTGACTTTTACTAAGGAAGAACAAAGTGACAGTTGAATTCGTTTCATCATTGAGTGTTGGGTTCATTTGTTTTGGTTCGACGATATTGTTTTGTTGGGTGCTTTGATTTTATTAGTTCGTGTCATCTATTTCATTTCCTTTCTTTTATTTTTCTTATAATTTGTTAGTTAAATTATTTTTGTCGTGATTTTTTGTTAGTTTAGTGGTTTGGTTCGTGTCTTAGTTCATCCGGTCAACATATAAATACTATGTCTAGAAACAGCCATTGATGGTTTTATAGAATTTCGGAAGTAAACATAGTTAAAACGGTATATGATTTGACTTTTTGCGATATTATTATGTGTTAAGATTTATTAACGGTCCTTAATTATAATCTAATTTCCAAATAAACCAGCTGACCTCACTCTGGTTTTACAATGGCCAATAGATCCACTTTAATATCCATAACTCTCTATTCAAAACTTCTTCGAAGTACTTAATAATCCATCAATCAAGCCCTGTCAGTGTATTAAACGCAGTATTGTTTAAATTGGGTACCTAAACGTCCAGGGACCAGTGTTTTATCATAGCAGTTTTTTAATCAAGGGGTAGAAAGAGAAAACTCTGCCGTTGACGAAATGTGAATGAACTCGGACTCGATTCTATTACGACGTATTTTGTAATCTTTATAATACACGTTTTTTGGAAAGAAAAACCTCTTTGCCTATTTTTAAACCCATTACACGCGCGAAGGATGTCTGTGATATGCTATAATGGAAGTTCATAAATCCAGTCAATTGTGAATGTACATTGAACTGAATATAAATGTACATACGATTTAATATTAAATATGGCCGAATTTCGAATGCTGGTCGATTATTCATATTTCATTCATACGAGCAGTTTGATATTCGAATTCCAAAAAGAGTTTTAATCGATATGAAAAATTTGAATATTTGAAAATAGAAGAAAGAACGTGCATGTCTATTCTAAGAAGTGACATAAATGACCTACCTCGCCGTATATATGAATAATGAGCGTTAGATAACGTGCAAGGGAGGGAGGCTGTACGATCGATAGATGCACCAGGTCGTTGACCCCGTCCAACTTCTGCTGTTTCGTCCACCAGCCCACTGCCCTATAAATATGAAATGACACTCTCGCCTGCATTGCGGTTACCGTATTTTTAACTACCTCTTTGTTATTTAATAGGTGCATTCATTTTTAATGCAATTTCATGCAGATTTAGATAGGCAAGTTTTTTATATTTCCTTATCTGTAATGTTTTATTCAATGTACTTATTATTAGCTATTTAGAAATGTTAATGTGGAAATAAATATACAAGATGAATAAATCAGAATAAAATTATAGATACAGAGTACTGTACAATAAACATATTATCGTCAAACATATTTGAAATTGCTATATATATCTTGTGTTCTAAGTAATAAAAAATACTTAAATCATTTAATACAATTTGTAATTTTTTTTTTGGTTAGTATCAATACCAAGTGTTGCGTCTTATTCTTCGAAACGGATAAAAATAGTAATTTGTTATCTGTAAAATATTTCATTTCTAGCTGCGAGACAAAATAGCGACACAAGCTCACCTTTTTAAAAAAAATATCGTATTATGTCGCCGTTTTGAGGACACAACTAGGTTAATGAGGAAATGAGAAATCCCTTAGAAAGTGTATATTTCCTTAGAAATAATTAATATTTTAAATCTGCTATGATTTATGTACGGTATACCTTTGAATACAGGTTTGTCCTTATTTATTTGAAAACTTAGCTAGAGAAAAGTGAAACTACCACCTAATTAAAGGCGTAACAGTGTATTCACCTTTCTTAGTAGGTACATAATTTAATAAAATTTGCCATCTTACTGGGCTACAAAAACTCACCTTTGTTGTCATTTATAAAGATTTCTCAGTAGTCTTTGAGTGAGATGCAATCAAATAGCTCTGAATTTCGGACTTAATCAATTGAAAAGTGTGGAAGAGCCATGCTTCGGCACGAATGGGTCGGCTCGACCGGAGTGATACCACGGCCTCACAGAAGACCGGCCTGAAACAACCACAGCGTTGTGTTTCGCCGTCTGAGTGAGGTTACCAGAGGCCCAATCCTCCCCGCCCCCAATCCCTCCTTAATCCCTAAATCTCCAAATCCCTAATCCCTAAAAGGTCGGCAACGCACTCGTAACTCCTCCGTTGCGGGTATCCATGGGCGGCGCTGATTGCTTACCATCAGGTAATCCGTCTGCTGGTTTGCCAATCTATTACATAAAATAAAATTGAATTGAATTTAAATTATAAAAAAACTTTGAACAATTTTTCGGTTGTAGTTTTATTAACTCACGTGCGGAAATGGTGCGTAGGCGTCGGTCATGTGCGCCGCTCTGCAGGTGATCGAGTGATAGACACACACACAGTGGTCACAAAGTTTATGTTTTCCATTACAAATGGAACGTTCCCTAGATAATCAACGTGCTCATAGTTAGTAACGGTCTATTGGAATCGTGTTTTATAGAAGACTAACTTTTCCCGCGACTTCGTTCGCGTGGAATTGTAACTTCCTGTAGGTTTTTGGTATAAAAACTATTCTAACTAAATCCTATGTCCTTTCTCGAGTTCCAAACTATGTTTGTACTAAATTTCACAGAAATCGCTTCAGTAGTTTAGGCGTGAAGAAAAGGCAGACAGACAGAGTTGCTTCCGAGTTTATAATATTAGTTTGGATTATTTTTTTACACAATTCTTTTAACATGTCCATGCAACTAGACATGGTTAATCGACAAATATTTTTTTTTCTAAGTCAAAAATCATTTGTTGGCAACGATTTCGCTTGCTCAAGGCGGTTTGGCGATATCAAACCTATGATTTGAAATTGTAAGTCCAGGTTTCCTTACGATGCTTTGATAAACTCAATTTGGTATCTAAATAAACTTAGTATGTTTAAACATAATTATAATTCGTAAAAAAGTCAAATTGGTGCTTGCCCGTTTTCGCAACTTCACCTTCACACAAGAGAATCGGGTCTCTCAAACTTTAACCGTTGGGCCACCAAGATAATTAAAACAATTTTCCTTGGTTTTATAAACTTAAGTCACACACACACACAGTCTTTTGAGTTTTACAGTACCTATAAGATAACTTAATTTTTTCTGAAGATTGTTATTTTTCAATGTCAGTTCTTGGAAATACGCCTGACCTCCAAACTTAAAAAATATAAAAAAAAACCTAAAGGAGGAAATCGTCCTTGTTCTTATATTAGTTAATTGATCTCAGTATTTTATAGTAGATGCTGATGTGTATTTTCAAAATTGTTCTTATGAATAGTAAGAAAGGTGCTACGTCTTATGAACTAGCTAAGACTTATACAGAAAACATGGAACAACAATATTTTCGCGTCTTTTATATCCAGCGAACACGATCCCGAGAAAGAAACGGACGCGCCATTTCAAAAGAATTCCTAAGTCTATTTATAGACGGACGAAACTGTTAAAATTTTCTCGAGACAGACAGTTATCACTCCCTCAGCAGATAATGGTCAAAGTTCGAAAAGTTAAAAGGATAATTAAGGAATAAGTTTTGAAATTTAACAAATTCGTTTAATCGTTGACAGCTATGACGTCATTCATATTGATTGCTATCAACAGGTTTCGTATTTACAGAATCATTTTTGGGCAAACAAATATTGGTGGTCACCGCAAATATCGACTATCTGTGGTAAAACGGTAATTAATTGCGTGAACGTCAGATTCCTATTTTATGGACTGTTATTTGACGAGGGAATAGACAGAAAGTGTAGTGTAAAATTTATAAATACTCAAATTCCGTGCTACTCGTATATTACAATAGCGTTATTGTTAGATGTATATTAAATAAATAAAAAATGATAAAAAAGATTCTGTGACTACATTTTTGAAAACACCGTCACAGCTTTTCTTGTTTCAAGATATGTATAAAGCGCTGCCTCTCATTAATGAAGTATATTTTATGTAGTGTTGTTGGATTATTTTTATGATTTTATAATAAAAACCAGCAAAGAGTCAAATGACTAGGAAAATCTCTTAGTTTTACCAACTGAACATCGCTGTTTTATCAACAAATTCGAACATTTTGGCAATGTTCCCAGACGTAAAAGATGGTTGTATTATACGAATGGATTATTACGAAAGAGTTTAAGGAGTCGTTAAGAGACATAATGTGGAATACTTATTTTATGTTGACAACTTGTTGATACGACTTTATAGGTCTATCGAACATTTAGTTAGTAGGTAAGTAAGACACTTTGGGTGAAATGTAAATATTTTTCCATGCTACTATATATAGCAATAATAAAAATATAAAAGCATTACCTTAATGTCTTCTATTTTATTTTTGATATTAGAGAAAGGTTAAAGGAAATATATTAATTTTCTTATTGAATTGAATTGCTAAGAACATACGATTTGTATTGAATACTTACATATTATACTTACTCCATTTTAGTACCTATTATATTCCTTTTCCTTCTGTTCTTTAGATCCGGTGCTTTCTTGTATCATAAGTGTTCTATTGTGTGTTTTGAAATCATAGTGTATAATTGTGTTATTTTATAGGTATTTTGTTTATGTAAAGTGTGTATGCTAAGATATTGGGAATAAAAATCAAAAATAATTTTCATAGCTTTTTATTTTAAATACGAAAACTCATGTTAGTCGACAATAAAAATTACTTACAACTAATTGATTTAATATTTAAACTAACTACTTAGTATACGGCAATACCAACTGAGTATTTACTGATCAAATAGTAGACAAATAGTATATCTATATGTATAGGTACAAATTCGAAACATTTTCAAGTGATGATTAAGTTAATTTACATTCTTGCTAATACATGCGGTGTTCTATTCTGTATCGTACTTAAATTCCATACGGCACACCATACATTGATAGTAATAAGGTACACAGTTCTTAAAGTAATAGTATACCGTACATCTAGACCTACTTATTTCCCAAAGGTGGAAAGGCACTATGCTTGATTAATAAAATCAAAGTTTTACACAATACGAACTCTTTCATTAGACCGACTGCAGCACAAACATTCTCAACTCACTGAAACTACTTTAAGATCATTACAACGATGTCAAACGCATGCAGTTATGTGGCGATTGAAACAAGTACATAAATCGTGATTCGACCAAAGTTTAGTCTAAAGTAATTTAGATTGGTGTTCTAGAGTGCAGTACAGGATACAAACAATGACAATACCCGGTGAGGAGATATTAGAAAAGTGTCTACTAGTAATGCTCAACAGACCGACAGCTAGTTGCAATTCAGTTCACAGTCTTATGTATTGTCCCTTAAATACAACTAAACGAGTCACAGCTCAACTTGCAGCGAACGCTGCGGAAGGCCCCGGCGCCTGGCAGGCACTCTCCTGGCGCCGCCCTCGCTTGGTCCTCTATGAAGACATCGTTACGTCGGCTACTTGCCCAGGGTTCAGCAATTATCTACTGATATGATGAGAACATGCCTCTCTAGCGCTTTTATTCTATTCGTAAATCTTAACCAGTCTTAATCTCCGCCCTTGTCCGGCCCAAATGCTAGCTTCCTTTATCGGTTGAGGCCCATGGATGCGCAGCACACTGTGTGTCGAGGCACTCTCTGTGTTGGTAGGCCTGAGAGTCCACGTACATACGTGTATGTTACAGGGGGTCGAAGAATCCTCTTCGGTTGAGTCTGCTTCTTGGGCTGACGCGATCGTTCAGTCGGAGAACAAGACTGCGAACGAGATGACAGGCTCAGGCTTTGGAACACTCGGCGAAGAGACACAGTGGAGCGGTGCCGGCGGTGACGTTCAGAGCCGTCGCTTCCGGATTCACTGACTGAGCACGACGATCGGTCATCAGTACGTCCATTTTCACCAGACACACTGTCGCTGCTGCTCGAGCTGCCGACGGAATCCGAGTCGTTAGCACGGCGAGAGAGCCGGCTGCTGAGAGCTTTCAGCAGCCTGCCGCCGCGGGGAGCTGTAATAGTTTCCGACATTTCTTCAATTGGTGGGCAGACCACTATCTTCGGGGTTACAGACTCGCGGCGCGGGTTGTTCTTGGGGGTCCGCTGTTGCACAGCTACGTTCACCGGCAGATCGCCGACGAACTTCTCACTCGTCAAAAAGTTGATTCCCAGCTTATTTTTCATAAGGTCGACATTATCACTTCCGTACAGGAGGAGACACACAAATATTTTTTTTTGTTTTTGTTGTTACAACGAAATGTTGTGATTGAAAACTTTTCCGGTTTTCGAGTGTTGTTAGGGAGTTAGTCGCGTAAGATCGCTCCGTGAGGGTGAGTCGCGAACTGTTGGCGGGTGGGAGGCTGCGACGGTTTATATGGAGTTTTTCGCGCATGCGTCCTGGTAGGCTCAATTGTTCATGCACCGGTACACGTAGATGCATACCTACCGAGCAGCACCATCACTGGGATGTCGCTATGGATACCTTGTAATGGGTCGAATAGTGTAGTGCTATATTAAAGTATTAGATTACTTTCGTATGTTTGAAATAAAATGTTTCTTAGGAATACAGGACTTATCTTGAAGACTTAAACAAAAGTTGTTCGATCAGTTTTGACTTGTTGGTTTTTTTATAGATTTTAATACATCTATTACACATCTATTAAGGTGTATCAGAGATATTCAGGTATATAGGTGTAGATAACAAAAAGTAAAAGCGATAGATTTTACGATTTGTAAGACGCAAAAAATATAGCTACCAACTGATGTCACACTGAACTGTGTACACGATGATGAATAAAGGGCATTCAATATAAAGTAAAGTTAGGTACTTTTAAATGCCTTTAAGTTTAATGAGAGCAACAAAGCGCTATTCCATTCATTGAATTTAAAGTTCACTAGGCGTTTTATATAGAATTGAACAAATTGTTTAAATGAAAGCGCATTGACTTATCTTGTTTATGATTTATCGGTCACAATATTGCTCTTGAACTATTATTAATTTAATATCAATGAAATTAAGGTATTTAAACTGTCAATATATTCTATGCTTTGTCAAATAATGGGGCTGATGTTATGAGTATTTCATTAGCCTTTGAGCCATAGGTATTCTAATGTTGGTTTGTGTGAAATCGACCTTTGAAGGTCGATTTCGAAGATTGACAACGAAAGGAATAATTTTAAGGTGGAGTAGACATATTAGGAATCTTAGGTTTTGATCCTCGAAGGAATAAGTATAAGTAAATTCCAATTCACTACCTTATCGCCTACTGAGTACGTTATTTACGACATTTTACATTATGTTTGCGGAATATTTGATTAGGAAAAGATATTTAATTTCTCAATAGATAACTTGTGTTTAAGATAACTTAGGTTTCGTATGTTTCATTTCCATGCGATTGGATTTAGATGTTGTTTTTTTGGTGTAGGCTTGTGTGCTTATTATAATCTTTAAATTACCGATCAGGATGGAACTTTATTTTTCGGAAAAAGCCTTTTGAGTATATTGTGTTATGCTGCGGCAAAACTAGAAAGCAAACCATTAATAATGGTTTTAGTAATATGTAATTTACTAGAAGAAAGCGGATCAAAAAATGTTGACTGATATTTTTTTGAATAATGTGGCACTACAAAAAGAAAAAAAAAGAAATGACCGTTTTTTATGGAAGTCTATTACACCGAAGGTTTGTCACGTTCGATGATGAAAACTCTACAATATATGTATGTTTGGTGATTACAGAAAGAAGTAATTGATCTTGCTGGATGAATTTATACCTACTTAAGTAAAGTTTAGTACCTGTGTTTTAATCTGTAATCCAAACGTACCATATGTGGTTATAATTATGAGTAAAGTGTCTAGGATCAGACGGCTAGCAATAATCTCATATATGCCTACGCACTCGTCTTCAGACACGTGTTCTGTTAATTAAAGTTACATTTAATATTTTAAAAATTGAGTCCGATAAACGTACATCGCCATATACATTAAAGGATTATATGTATGAGCTGTTCCTTACTAGCGACTTTTGTTACAAAAACAATTGTTAAATAACCTATTTTATTAAATGACCGCACACAGAACATTGCTGCAATACCTAGGAAAGACCCTTAGTTCAGTATTGGTATGATTGTTTATTTCTGATAACTGGTTCTAGAAGCACTGTAATAAGTTTAGTTAGTGTTTGTAAAGGTACTTCGACGGAAAGTGTAAATGCAGTTTAAAAAACAGTTTTAATAATGAGAACTAGGTAGACCTATAACTGGTTTGTGATATAGTTGCTTTCTATCATGCAAGGGAGTCCAATTGTACGACGAGTATAATTATTCATTTATATATTAATCTCACGAGTCCTTGAAATTACAACCTTAATCCATGTAATTGCGATTGTAATTTTATTATTTTAATCGCAAATTTATTGATAAATGAGTTTGTTGTAGGTATTTAAACCTTTAATGAGGAAGAATCTCAAGAAGTGTAAAAATCAATCTAAATGTCATGATTATAGTTTACAAATTTCATTGCGATTAAGGTCAAGTCGTAACATTCCCGTGGAGTAAAGCACGTGGTTTTTCTCAGGACGATTTCTTAAGTCACCTGAGGCACGTGACAACCCGATCGCACGAGATCGACTTAATTAATTTCTAATTGAACTTATTTGTCTCCACTCCCGACTGCACGGAGTGTTACGCGTTTGGTGACGACAACAGGTGATTAGAACGGGTGTGGGATGGCGTTTATTGCCTTATGGTTTCGAGACAAGTCTCGAGAAAATATCGACACAGTTTTATTTATCACGTGGGTCCTGATTTAATTGAGTTAACGAAACGTGTACTACGGGAAATTGTAATGCGTCTCTTTTTTTGTTTCCCGCAAACAGAATTCGAAGTCAATCTTGAAATTTATCAAGCGATATAGAATGAGCTTAAAGTTTAAACTACATTAACATAGATTTTCATTTAACGGGTTCTAAAACTTCTTTTTTCTACTTCTTTATCTATCACCTGGAGAGACATTGGAAATAAATAAATAAAGGTTTTACTAATGTTTAATTTTTTAAACCAGTTGGTACACAAAGAAAATAAATACTTAGGTGTATTTTTTCAACCGTAGGACACGCTGAAGCATGCGGTGGCGGTGTGCCCTGCCTAGCCTGAGCACGGCCGTGTCCTCAGGGAAGTGATCGGCGGCGGCCACCTCTCGCGTCCGGCCTTAGTCGAGGCCTTGGTGCGGAGCGAGAGATACTAATAGGAAGCCGCTCTTTCTGCGAAGCGGTCAAGGAAGTCGCTTTTTCTGTGAAGCGGTCAAGCTCGCAAAGAAGGAGACGTAGTGCATGACGGAACTTTCTTCATCACGCCCCAGCCGCCTTAGGAAGAAACACTCTGAGCGTCGGGGATCGCGCGACTATCTCCCGCAAACAACATTTTTTTTGAGTAGTTAAAAGTACATAGCTACATACTGTTCTTCACTAATTTCGGCGTATGTTGTACAGAAGAAGATATATCGTTTTGATGTTTACACCACGAAGCTTATATTCCTTTGAGCAACAATTTTCCCGTTAAAGTATTTACCTTCTAAGTACAAGTCGACGTTTATTACAGTCTATAAATAGACTGACTATTACTGGTTTTGATACGACTGTGGAAAGCTGCACAGTTGCAGGGTTTGTTATGATCTTCAGATCTATTTTAGCGATGTTTGTTGATGTTGAGAATTCGTTATAAATCTCTGTTATGACCAGCTTGTAACTCGAGTATCTTTTTAATTGTTTATTTCACGATGTGATGTAGGATTGTTTTGTTTTGTTGATGATGTGGGAGGAATCCTTGTTAAAACTATTTCAAGCAACAATAGCTTTAGTTACACAAGTATGGAAGTCGGTTGGTACCAATGTCGATTGGTGACAAATTTTAACTTTAGAACTTTGTGACGGACAGACCATTACAGATGGGGCCCAATAGTGCTGATAGCCGGCTGAATCAGGCCGGGTTGCAGGGCAAGCCAAGTAGGTACCGTGTCCTCGGCCTAGAGCGCAAACAGGAACAGGATGGTTTTTAGTCAGTAAGAGTCTGGTAATCCCAGTCGCCTAACACTAGGCGAGAGAAGGCATTTAACGATGAAACATTGAGTGGAAAGAAACTGTCTATCAAAAAATTTCTAAAGACGAAAGAAGCCAATATAGAATGTAATATTATTTTTAATTTCTACTTTTGAAACATCTACGTCTAAAATAAATCAAAGACAATTTTGATTTAAAACTCAACTTTATAATATAGGATACAAATATTTTGTAGGTGGACCCACACCTACATAGACAGAAAATTATTAACTTGCCTCTAGGCTCTTAAAGTGTGCACGTGCTAATAAAATGTGAACTTTAAAAAAATATACTTTAATTCCTTTTTCACAAACCTACATAGTAATAATAGGTGCTGGTGCTCAATAGGTGGATACACATGATTTTTCTGTTTTCTTTTTAAATTGTGTCGAGGAACGATGTCGTGCTTAACCGAAGATGTTACGAACATTTTCCTAGAAATCTAATATGTTGTACTTTAAAGGTCATATTAACAATCTGTCGTCGCTTTAATAAGCCGAAGGGATCACAACAAACAATTTTTACTTGAACTGTGCAGTGTATGGAAATTCATACACGTTCTTCAATTTGAACCTACATTTTGGATCGAGTACCTAACTTCACTGATGAACAGACTGACGGACAATTAGTCCATTTTGATGTTTTTAAAGTACCTGTGTATAGTTTTAGATGTAATAAATGTAAAAAAATATTTTGTGTTTTAATTATTAAATGACAGGTGAGTCTATTACAACAGAACGGTTATAACCGTTCCTATCCCAAGATTCTAAGAAATATTATTTTAGAAAATCTAATTCACAATAAAAACAACATCTTGGTAGCAAACACCGAAATCTCAGCATTCCCACTACTATGTAACAAATCAGTACCGTAATATATGTACGTACAAAACAAATAAGCAGAAATATATAAAGTTGTCATTTTTTCTATGACGTTTTCATAGTTCTATTTATTTGTTTAGCAGGTACATACCGCATAGCCTAGCACGTTTTCTTTAGCGCTGCCTTGCTACCACGTGATAAGACGATCGCGACTTGCGTATCTGTTTTATTGCAACCTATTGTAGTTCCGCCCACTCCTATAGCCACCATA